CTATATATACACATCAGGATTCCCTGACCTCCCATCAGTCAATGCCATATACAGAATTATACTCATGACAGTCACAGATATCAGCAACAGATATACAATGAGAAGCAAGAGAATCACGGCAAGAGAGAGAACATGTGCTTACCGTCCTCTTTCATACCCATCGCTTCTCGTCATCAGACAGGGACAAAACTGAATGATGCAGCCCTCATCATGCCGGTCACATGGTCATGACTCAGCAACCATCTTCATGAATGCCACATGGCTCAGCTTCTTCTGCATGTCCCTCACATTCCACACCACCACATGTCCATTAGAACTGTATTTTCCAACAGTATTACACAATAGAGTTACAGTCAATACATTCCTGTCTAACAGAGCATGATCTATCTAACAGAGCACAGATGATGGGCAACACTCAGGGCCAAAGGAGTCATATCAGACCACCAAAGGTTGGGAAGAAGCAGAGCAAGAAGAGGCACTTCATCCTGCATTGAAGTACATTAAAGCGCAAGGAGTAAAAGGTCAGGAAAGGCCCTTGTTCCCTTTAAATAGAAGACACTGAGCTAAATGAGGCCAGCTGGGCCGATGAACTCAACTCAACTCAGCCCAGTTCCTGTGGATGCTGGGCAATTTTTTCCCTTGAGAATATATTTCGGGACAAGGAGATACCTAGGATGAGCCATGCTCAACGCAAGTGTGGGAGTGAAAAGTAGGTGTTAGAAGTCATCGAAATTCATCGAAGTCATAAAAGGGCTTTGGAAGTCATAGAATCATAGGTCTGGAAGGGATCCCAAAGGCCACCCAGTCGAACCCTCTTCTGCCATGCAGGAATGCACAATCAAAGCCCTCCTGGTGGTAGGCCATCCAGCCTCTGCTTAGACGCCTCCACCAAACTCTGAGGCAGTGAGTTCCCCTGTTGAATAGTTCTTCTTACGGTCAGGAAGTTCTTCCTAATGTTCCATTGGGATCTCCTTTCCCGTACTTCGAATCCTTCGCTCTATTGCATCTTAGTCTCCAGAGCAGCAGAAAATGATCTTGCCTGCTCCTCGATGTGACATTGTGCTTGGAATTGTGTCTAGCCTTTCTGAACATTCAGGTCAGATGAAACAATGCTCCTTTCTCTTTGCACTAGCCTTCCTTGTCTGCAGAAGCACCTTCTTATTTCGCCCAGGTTTGATGAAGGGTTGGGGCTCATAGGAAGAGAGAAGGCAGGCTGGTGCATTCCCTCCATCCTCCCTTTCTCATTCCACTTTGTGCCGGGATGAGCAGCCCCCTTGCAAGAAAGGGCCCCCTCCTGCCCTCCCATTGCAACCACCAGGTCTTCCTTCCTGACATCTGGCTATTAAGCACTTTGCAGAAATGGAGACACAGCGAAGGGGCGGAAACTGTCTCCCTTCTCCATGCGAACACCTGCTCCTTTTCTCCTCGCTGCCATCGCCCTACGAAACGGGGGAGGAAGAGTGGTGTGGGTTTCTTCTCGGGAAGGTCTCTCAGGAGCGGAAGAGGTTTTCCCCTGAACAGACAAGGCTTGGGCTGAGCAGGAGGAGCTCAACCTTTTGTGTTTTCTGAAGGCAAGTCAACTGGACGTGAGAAAAATCCAATAATGTCTCCCTTGTCCATTTCTTCCTCCACCGTCTTCGCTCTCCAAATATTATTTTCTGCACAGAAAGAGACACAACATTTCAAGGCCCATCTCCAACCAAGCCTTGTGCAACAGAGAGAGGGATTTGTTTATTGATGAGTCCACTGACCATATCAACAATTAAAAAATGCATAAAAATACATAAACACTAATCTAAAATGGGATTGTCAATACTGGCATCTCACCTTGGCGATCCCTTGTAGCTCGAGGATCATAGAATCATAGAATCAAAGAGTTGGAAGAGACCTCCTGGGCCATCATCCAGTCCAACCCCATTCTGACAAGAAGCAGGAACATTGCATTCAAATCACACCTGACAGATGGCCATCCAGCCTCTGTTTAAAAGCCTACAAAGAAGGAGCCTCCACCACGCTCCGGGGCAGAGAGTTCCACTGCTGAACAGTTCTCACAGTCAGGAAGTCCTTCCTCATGTTCAGGTGGAATCTCCTCTCTTGTAGTTTGAAGCCGTTGTTCCGCGTCCTAGTCTCCAAGGAAGCAGAAAACAAGCTTGCTCCCTCCTCCTCCCTGTGGCTTCCTCTCACATATTTATACATGATGATTGTCTTCTGGATGTGGTGTCTTAGTGGTGGGTCTGTAGGTGGTTGTGTAGCCCTACTCTTGATCTGCATCTTCTCCTGCAGTGAGGACATCGGTTTCCAGATGGAAGGTGGTCCTGGTCAGGGTTGGCTTGATGTGCCTTCCTCTTGGCATGTTTCTCCCTTTTGCCCTCCATTCATGCCTCTTTGAATTCTATAGCACTGCTGGTCACAGCTGACCTCCAGTTAGAACACTCAAGGGCTAGGGCTTCCCAGTTCTCAGTGTCTATGCCACAGTTTTTGAGGTTGGCTTTGAGCCCATCTTTGAATCTCTTTTCCTGTCCACCAACATTCCGTTTTCCGTTCTTGAGTTCGGAGTAGAGTAGCTTCTTTGGGAGATCATTGGACACTCAGACAATGTGGCCAGCCCAGTGGAGTTGATGGCGGAGGAGCATCGCTTCAATGCTGGTGGTCTTTGCTTCTTCCAGCACACTGACATTTGTCTGCCTGTCTTCCCAAGAGATTTGTAGGATTTTTCCATGGCAGCGCTGATGGAATCGTTCCAGGAGTTGCATATGATGTCTGTAGACAGTCCATGTTTCGCAGGGTTGGGAGGACAATGGCTTTATAAATAATACTGGCATTGCACCTTGGCATATAGACAATAACCAAACCAAATATGCACAGTGTCCTCTATGGCTGGTGCACCACGGACGCATGTTCTTTTGTGACAAGGTATTTTTGGAATCGCCTTGTTCTTACCACAGAATAACAGAAGCAGCATCCAGTTTCAAGGGGTCCCGACACTATAGTTCATCCATCAGAGGGGGATGATGGACACTCCAGTCTGATGATTGATAGGAGAACAGACTCCCATTGCTCACAAAGGCTGCTGCTCAATAAAGCACGATTGGTGGGATCCAGCCAGAGATGCTGAGCACGCAACCGAGATTCTTGATCATAGAACTTAAAGGCATACTTGTGTGTATGTGTGTGTGTTTGTGTGCATTCCTGCAGTTTCCAAAGGTGAAGCCATGTGGCAGTGAAACCAAAGCAAGACCTGCCTCCAATTGCTAATCCATCTGGAGCAGACCTGTTGAACCAATTATGGAACAGTCAGCCAACAGTTGGCGGTTGACATACGATGTACGGCTCGCCTTATGACTTGGCATGGATTTCCCGACATCGGATCAAGTGCCTGGTTGCGACCCAAACACAGACTGTAAGCTGCCACTCGCTTGCTAAAATGTCCATGGATACGACTCTTAAGAAGAGCGAAACATCTTGCTGGGTGATTCATTTCTACCTTCTTATAAGCCACACCGATCTCCTCACTTGAAGTTGGCGAGCATAAGCCGGCCTGCTAGAGAGCAAAGCTCCTTGTGTGACACTTTGGTGTGAGTGATGGGGTGCCTTGTGGAAGTGGAATGGTTGGTAAGATCCTCAATGGTTCCATTACCTGTCATTTGAGCCGTGGGGAACTCAAGGTATGTGCATGTCCACCTCTGCCAGAAGACACACGATACTCCCATGCACCTGGGCCACAGTGGGAGATGCATGGCTGGCTGGCAAAGCAGCTCAGCTCAGGAGTTGGCTGAGTTCTCAGGTATGTCCTTCTTGGTCCAAGTCCAGCCTCATCGTTTTCAAAGAAACATTGGTGGGAACCGCAAAGAGCACACTTGCAGACGTCTGGCTGGAGGGGAAAAAGCAGAGATTGTGACGCGACAGATCTGCTCAGACTCTGCTGGGTTTCTGTAGCGGTTGCCTTAATGCTCTTGGAGAATTTCCTCCTCAATGAGTGCTTTCCAAGGCAAATGAGCAGCTCCCCATCCCATCCCCAGGCTCTTCCGACCCAAAAAACCACCTCTCACCTACACTTTGCTATTAGAAAGGCCTTAAGAATTTACTTTAAAATGCACGAGGAAGAAGCAAATTATCTATCTATCATCTATCTATCTATCTATCTATCTATCTATCTATCTATCTATCTATNCTGCTGCTCCTAGGACAAGCTTATCTCTCTCCTGGAATGTATAGATAACATGCCCCCCTCTTCAGCATTCTTCCTACACAGCGAGAACTTGATTTTTCTATACATTTCAATGCTTGTAAAGTGCATACAATTTATACATAAATAATAGGCTTGTTTGATCAAGAAAAAATTTGGTTCTAAACTCGCTTCATTTCCAGGGGGCACCAGCGTTTCGAATTTCTGAGGACTTCTGAAATTTAAGATTTCAAAATTTCGAAATTTACGAAATTTCGTTAATTCCGAATCGATTCGTTAATGGCGGACGCGATTGCGCAATGCGCTAAAAACACCTCCAAACGGGACAGGGGGAACTTCTGAAATTCAGGATGAAATTAAAATACATTAAGTTAGTAAAAATACAAATTAAAATCACTTAAAATTAATTAAATAATAAAATAATAAAATAATATAATAATAAAATAATATAATAAATAATAAAATAAAATAATAAAATAATAAAATAAGTAATAAGATAATAAAATATCTCCAGGAGGAGGAGGATGGAGAGGAAAGGCAACGCTGGCACCTTTTCTCTCTTTCTTTCCCGTCTTAATACTTACGAAATAATTACGAAATAATTACAAAATAATTACGAAATAATTACGAAATAATTACGAAAATTTGGAAAAATTGTTTCGATTCTTAATTACTCTTCACACTATTCCTGCATGGCTCGATATTGGATCGTAAGCTGATTTAAATACGAATTAATAACGACTTTAGCAACTAACGAACACGATCAAACAAGCCTAATAAATAAATATCTATTTTTCCAATATCTCCGCATCAATAGAGTGTCATATTGCTCAAAATCTTCTTGGCATAACATCAGGGAAGTTCTGTATCCCCAAAATGTTACAGGGTGCCATATTTCACTGACTCGACATTCTAGGGCTATGGCACCAAGGGTTATGGAAGCCTACCGCTGATCACAAGCTCCACGGTCCCAAGCCGACTTTCAAAGGGGCTCTCTAGCAGGGCGGTGTAGTTGGCAGTGTCGTTGACGGTTAAGTCTGTGATCTCAAGGGTGCAGTTGGCATTCAGGGTCTCTCGCCCGGTGTAGCTTGTCCTATTCCTAGACACCGGGCGCGGATAGAAGAAAAAGACAACGATGGTACTATCCCCGTCCGTTGCCCCTCGGAACCAGCGACAAGTCACTATGTCTCGAGGACTAGTGACCGGGATGAGGCGGACGCTTCCTCCTTCCATCGGGTTCGGGGGATCCACCGTGATATTTGTCGGCTTAAATATGGCTTCAGTCGAGAAGAAGCAAACACTCAGGACAAAGGCTGTCGAGAGAATAAGGGAAGGGGCGTCACTCCCCGCAAAGCATCCCTTGGAGGCAAAGACAATGACATCCACACCTGGCTCATATCTCAAAGCAGCCCCTGGACCTCCAATACAGCGGTTCTCCAAGTGTGCTCCATGGAGCCCTTGCTCCTAGTACTACTACTACTATTATTGCAAAGGCTGGGTGGCGGTTCTCAAAGTGTGCTCCATGGAGCCCTTGCTCCTACTATTACTACTACTACTACTATCACAAAAGCGGGGTGGCTGTTCTCAAAGTGTGCTCCATGGAGCCCTTGCTCCTACTATTACTACTACTACTACTATT